ACTCTTATGGCATCTATGATTCAACATGGCGCTAGATAATGTAGACCCATGATTAATACACCCCTTCCTTTTAAGGGCCTACATATTGGGATCCTTATTATAATCCCTATTAATGGGATGGGGTTTATTTATCAGGGATCTGGGTTAGGTCCCATGCAAACTACATGATATTAAGGCCTTTCATCATAGCTACATGCATGCATGATCTCCAAAAGATTCTAGTTCAAGAGCAGCTGAAGGCGGGTAGGTATACGGTGGACTCTAGCTACGCAGTCCATATACCGTTTACAAGGTGTAGGGGCTAGCTGTGGTCTACAAAGGCCTCCTAAACTGGGTTGCTGTTAAGGAGCTTACACTAAGTTACTATACAAAAGCGTATTACCTACTACATGCTGTTACATGCTCATATAGTGGTAACTTCATCTAAGCTCCTTAATCACAACCCCGCAAGAGGGTATCTATCTAACCAAAAAACCCGCAACCCTAGCCCGCAAACCCTAAACCCCCAAACCCTAAACCCTAAACCCTAAAACCTAAACCCTGAACCCCAAACCCCAAACCCTAAACCCCGAATCTTTAACCCACTGTCCCGGAGCAACTTCGGGCCCAGAGTTGGCTTCGCTCCTGAAAGCACCGCGGAGTGCTTGGGGTTTGGGATTTGGGGTTTAGGATGGTTTAGGGTTGAGGGGGGTGGAAGGTTTAGAGATTTAGGGACCTTAGAGGGTTTAGAGTTCTGGGTTGGGTAGCTTACGGGCTCTTGCATTAAGATTTTGGGGTCTAAACCCTCCATCCTGAACCCTAGTGCCCAGAGCTTCCAGGGTTGCAGGGCTTGGGGGATTTAGCGGTTTGTGGTTTGGAACCTTGGACCTCAGCGGTTTAGGGGTTTGGGGGTTTAGGGGCGGATAGGGTTTGGGGTAGGGTGTAAATGTTTAAGAGGTTCAGGGCTTCGGGGTTCATCCGGGTTTAGCGTTTTGGGGCTTTGGGATTTCGAATTTCAGGCGTAGGGCTGCGGAGGGTGTCGCTCCGTGGACCTTTGTGTTTGGGGTGAGGTCCTGTATCGGTTTAGGGGCTTCAGTGTTTAGGGTTTAGAGCTTGGGGCTTGGGGGGACAAAGGATTTAGGGTTTGGGAGGTTCAGGGGCGCAGAGTTTTAGGCCCAAATTGAGGCTGTATGGTAGGGAACCCGTATGCAATACCCCCCCCATTTGCTGATATCCAGTACCTAACCTTTTGGGGGCTTGTGAGTTTCTGTAGAGCAGATAGAATATGAGCCCGTGCCGGCCGTGCATGTAACCAGTGTTGCCATTAGAGAACGTTAGCTATGGTACTGTAAATTATTCGTTATAAGGAAATCCGATCAAGTACTATGCATCCCTCTTGTGGTAACTTGATTTAAGTTCCTCAGCAGCAATCCAGTAGGAGAAGAGGATTCTGAGTGTCTCTTCCTGCAGTGTTCAGGGTGTAGAGTGTTTAACTTGGCGCTGGTAGGGTCCACACCAGAATTTTGGAAAGCTGCCGCACGCATGCAGCTCAAAACCAGTTGCACCAAACTGACACCAGGCCAAATGTGACTGAAAGCCCAACCTATCCTCAGTACTCATGATAAACGTCGCCATTTTAAGGCAAAGGTCGACTACCATAATCATATAGTCCCGTTTGCGTAGGTAGAATATGGGGTATATGGGGATCTTATTCTAATGACTAGAAATCAGCTGGACCAAACCGCACCTGGCAACATCTCAAAAAGGCTGGACAAAAACTCCGGCTTCTGAACAGCCAGGCCTAAGATCACAAAACCTCACGTTCACCAAGCCCTACATCCCAACCAAGAGTGTTCAAAGCTCCAGGACGCCGGTCTAAAGTTGGCAGCCCCCATGTCTCTTGGAACTTTTCAATACAGGGCGCGAGAACGAAATGTTCATCTGGGGGTGTGGCTTGGCAACTTCGAAGATCACCTCGGGCCAGATGTACTGCTTGTGGGGTTCACCTTAAACCCCATAGTGTAGAGGCCTTCGAATTTCCCTGAACCCTAAACCTTAAACCTCAGGGTCTCGAATTACCCGAAGCCCTGAAGCTTAGGGCCTAACATTTCGCTAAACCCTATCAACCCTGCTTGTATAGGGCCAAGAGCACTCAGCACCTGTCGGGATCCTAGGAATAAGTGGGGTCTTAGGGTTTAAGGGTTTAGGAGTTTAGGCTTAAGGTTTAGAAGGATGATAGGACACTGGTACTTAGAGGCTCAGTGACATAATTAATTAGCAAGCTACTTACTTGGGGGTTGTAACCAAACCAACCCTAATCACCCCATTTCGTAACAAGTTGATCAACTTCCTGGGGGGTCTGTAGGGAATACGGGAATACAATCCCTACATAATCCATTCCAGTATTCCCTACTAACCCTAAACCCTGAACCTTAAACCGCACAGTTAGTGGGTCCCCTGAATCTTGAAGGAGGGGTCCTTCCGAATAATTATCAGGAAGGTTTCCGGGCCTCTGGGCGTGGTGAGTTTAAGGTTTTAAGGTTTAAGGCTTCGGGTTTAGGATTTGGGGTTTGCAGTTTAGGATGTGGGGTTTAGGGTTTCCGCTTTAAGGTTTAGGGTTTCTGTGTTTAGGGTTTAGGGAAAAACTTCCACAGACTCCGGCACGGAAGTACAATAGGCAGGACTCAAGCTCAAGAGAAACTTTGCCCTGAACCCCATACCCTATTCTCAGCCCCAGCGCTTGGCCCAAAACCATAATCTCTAAACCTAACTAGACCTAAAAAATAAACCAAATAATGGTCCGCAGCATGTAAAAACACGCCCAAAAACACTTATTCCACATATTTCTACAAACTTCCGGGAGTTTAGGCCCTAGGCCCTAAACCCTCCATCCCTAAACTCAAATCTAAGAAGCTCGGCAGCATGCCTAAGCCTACTGTAGGGGCTTAAACAATTGCCAATATCACCTCAACCCTAAAACCTCCCTATAATCCCCTTAAACCCCGAACCTCCTAAACTCTAAACCCTAAATCCCTCTAACCCCAAACCCCCTAAACCCTTATATCTTATACCCTTAAACTTATACCCTTATACCCTTCAACCCCAAACCCCCTAAACTCTAAACCCTAATCCGCTTAAACCCCAAAACCCCCTCAAACCCTAAACCCTACATTTGCACCCGCTAGGCTTCTGGCAGAGCCACCCAGCCATATCCGACTGCCATCCACCACACGTAGCGAAGCCGCCTCGGCGAAGAGAGGGGAATTAATTCGGGGTGCTAAGAATTTCGGAGATTCGGGCTTGAGGATTGAGGGTTCCGGGCGTAGGACTGGGGATTTAGGGTCGAGCATTTAGGGTTTAGGGCTTAGAGCTTGGGGTCTAGGATTGAGGGTTTACGGGTTTGGCTTGCGATCAAAGCTTTAAAAGGGGTATAATAGGGGGTCCTATATGACGACTGTATTGTCGGAGAATATAAGGTTTAGGGTTTGCTTTAGGGTGCTACCAGTCTGTTGAAGCTCAGTTGCATGGTCTAATTAGACTCGGGTTTTGTGATATCCTCATTGTAGATGCAAGCGTTTGCGGCTAGAGGGCGGGAAAGTAATGTACCAATCATAAGCTGTTCCAGCTACGTCTGCCAGTATGACGATTTGTTGGCTTTAGCCTCACGTGCCAATGGTCCCAAATAAGCCCTGCAATAAGCCTTGATCTGAACCCTCAATCCTATATTCAGAATCCTAGATCCTAAATCCGAAGCCTAAACCCCAAACTCACTGAACTTTGAAAACTCCATTCTATATCTCAAGCATTATGGCATTATCTGACCTGAAATCTAAACCTTGAACTCGAAATCCTGAAAGTTAGGTCCTTAGCCCTAAACCCCATGGACTTCAAACTTTCATAGTACAGCTTAAATATTATCGAGCTGTTTGTTTTGGACTCTAAACCCTGAATCCTATGTTCCAAATCCTAAATCCTATGTCCCGAAATCCTAAGCCCTAAACCCACTGAATTCTGAAAAATCCATAGTACATCTCAAGTATTATGGCATTATCTGTCTTGAAATCACTCGTACCAACACTGCGTCCGTTAGAAGATTGCACAATCCACCGGTTTCCGACACCTTGTTGTGAACATCGAACAGTACTGTGACACTGCGCATGCCATCCGGTCTGCGGCATACCTCCTCCACGAAAGTCTCGAGTGTAATGGGATTCTCCAAGTCTTCGGAAGATTTGCTGGTTTTCCTGGGCACAGCAAGTTGATCGTGCGACCAACTGTTGCCGCCGTACGTGTTCATGGCCTGGTCCAGCAGTCCACTCATTATGGCTGAAGGCTCAAGTGGGAAGTAAGGGCACGCAGAACGCTGGGACTCGCTCAGAAATTGCTGGACACCAGGAACAAGATGCAAATATTACGAATTATGTATGTAGTTGCAAAAGAACAATAATGTTATGTATACCATCTACAATATAGTATCTTGCTGAAAAGGATCATATTTAGTTAGATCTTCTGATTTCGCTAAAGCAATATTACTGTTCTCTTGCTATGCTATGCAGACAAACTACATATCATGTGTATATATATGTGATAATGTTAATATTCTTCCTTCTTTATCTAATTGCAAAAGAACAGCTATGTTATCTCCACCATTTACTGTACAGCAGCGAATGGGAAGGGGATCATATTCAGTTAGACCACGTAAATACGATAAAACAACTTTATTATTGTCTTGCTAAATTATACAAACTATTTATGGTATGTAAAAATATATATATATATGATAATCGGAAGATGCCATGCACACAGCTTGCTTGCACGTTATGGCAACAGTCTTGTTGTCAGCGCAAGCAGTATCCAAACCGTGTCGTGTTCAACAAGGGCATTCGGGAGAATCTAGCCTCCAGCCGGACTCTCGTAGTAGCCCAACCAACACGTTCAAAGAGCACAGCATCAAATTGGACTTCCCTACTTAGAGGGCTGAGTATGGGAACCCTATTAGTTGGACCAACAGGAGTTTATCTTTACACGGCAGACTGCTTCAGCTCACGGAGTTCGCGCTCCAAGCGCTCAATCTGCATCTCATAGACCTGGCAGTCGCATTCAAGCAAGTGGATGCGTACGTCCTTCTCGTGGATCTGGGTGTTCTTGCTCTCAATGTCCGCATCTTTCTCTCCTATTGACTCTTCCATGTACTCCATGGCTTGTTTGGCATCACGAAGCTCAGCAGCCATCTTCTGGTACTCGGGGTCTTGCAAGATGACGAACTGGAGTTACTGGAGTCTGAGCTGGAATCATCGCTATCCAACTTGTTGTTGCTCTCATCCTGCTTGTTCTTCTCCTCTCACTTCTTGCTCTTGTTCTTTGTCTCGGGACCCTTTTCGCCATCGATGTGCATGTTGCTGCTTTCTGAAGGATTCTTCTCCGTATCGGGAGCGCCATTGTTGCCCTTGTTGTCGTCGATGTCAATCTGGTCATCCTGCTTGTTCTTCTCCTGTGACTTCTTGCTCCTCTTCTTTGTCTTGGGCCCCTTCTTGCCATCGATGTGCATGTTGCTGCTCTCTGGGGCTTTTCCGTCGGCAAGCGCCCTAGCGCCCTTTAATGGCGAGCCCCTGCGCATCAACTTTGGCCTTAACAACGTCTCCAGGAGAATGTTGCTTGCCGACATAGACCACTCTCCACCACGACCAGACTTCGTGAAACCAGCTTTGCGCTGGACATTCCCGATGAGAACATTCATCTCCTGTCGGGAAATGTTTTGGCGCGATGGATGGCTGTCCAAGTTGCCGGCTGGCACCGCTGCTATGACATCATCGGCCGAAGGCGGCTGGTTGGAATTCCACCGAGCCGCCGGACGTGGAGCAGCTTCATCTGGATTCATTTTGGCTAAATGAAGGGTTGCCACACCTGAGAAGACACCTGCCACATTGGTCGTCTACATGGCTGCGGTGCGGAAATGCTACTATGGAATACACTGAAGCTTGAATAGGAATAACAACTCATGAACATGGATACGTTCATGCAGCCAAGCTCAGTGTAGAATGGCGTGATAATGACTGACAGTCATGGACTCATGCAACTCAGCTTCA